CGAAATGTATAATATGCTTTCTTTGCAGAGATGCATTTCAGCCCTGTTGGGGAAACAAATGTAATTGCGTGACACAAGTTCATAATGATGGACACTTTTCATTTATACAAAATTGAGTCGTGCTCCAGGGAAATCATGAGAAATGCAGAGACACTTAATTCCAGCACAGTATAAAATATGCAGCCTTTGAGTCAGAATTGTATGTTTTACAAGTAAACCTATTTTCAAAGAAAATCTGTGACTGAGGAGGATTTTTGCAGTTAAAACACATCAAGTTCCCAGGCTGCCAAGGGGAAGGATGACAATTCAGTTAGATATATCAAAGAGAAAATCTTGCAATGCTGTAGGGAATGCTATCTTCAATGAAGTGAAATAAATTTTTTAAAGGGAGTTGCATTTGATGCCAAATATAGGACAAGTACACCAGAGAAAGGGGACCAGAATGGTCAAGTCTGAAGAGTCTGGCATATGAAGCAAGTGGAAGGACCTAGTGATGTTTAAACCAATATAAACAAGACTTGGGGGTGACACATGTCTGTCTTGTTGTGGAGGCTTCATAAAGATACTTGTAGGTCCTTTGGCCAACCTAAGAGAAGTTGATGTCTGTTGTTCTTGCCTGTCCAACAACCCCACTGCTATTCTCCAGTGCCATATGTTGTGGTAAAGCCCACAGACATGGGTCCTCATCTCTACCCAGCAACCAGCTGTGTTATCCCCACACCACAATGACTGGTTAAGGGAAGAGTGTGTGACTCAAGCAAAGCCAACCAAAGTTCTTCCATGAGAAACGGCATTTCGGTTTCTCTTCCTGTGGACTCAGACTTAAGGATGCTTTAAGACTCACATTGCCGGAGGCTATTTTTCTGAACTCAGCGTGAAAAGGAATCCAACAGGAAAACAGGACAGAAGCAAATAAGGAATATATAAAGACAGAGAGGAACCACAGACAGAAAGAGAAGGAAAGGCAGAAATAAAGAGGAGAGGGAGACTGAGACAGAGGGAGAGAGCTAGGCTGCATGGCATTGTTCAAATCCTCCAGAGAGCCATGTCTGAAGCCAGACTTTTGAGATAATTGAGCCAATCAATTTATGTTACGTCCCATGGTGCTGAAAAAAGACCCTACTTATCATCTGGTAAGCAAGTTGGTAAGAACTCTATAGTCAAGCATTTCATTTGGGTTCATACAGGGAAAGCCCTCTTCAAAGGCTAATTTAAAACATAAGTGCATTTGGGTAAGCTAAAAATATATTCACATAACAAATCTGCTTAATGGATATAAAATAATTGGAATTTAGAGGGAGCGATACTTAACAGTAGTTACCTCTTGGGAGTATAGCTGTAAAGGTAGGGAGGAAATTGGGGGCACTTTTGTGTATTACTTGTGAAATGATGACATGTTTATAATGTTCAGGTAGTATGTGTTTTTTTTTTTTTTTAAACTATGGTGATTAGAAAAGAGATTGTTGAAACAGATCAAACACAAGGTTGTGGAGATGGCTGTGAATGTTGGAGGGAGAAAGAATCTGCTAACGGGAGAGTGGAGGCTCCCAAGGGGAAGAATCTAGGGCATTCTGTGAGAACGCAGAGAGATGCACTGGCTGAAGGTTTCTACATTCCAGTGGAGCTCTGACTTCAAAGGGAACTCCTAACACCGAACTCAGAACGTTTTCGGCCAGTTGAGGAATGTGCTGGCCCAGGAGAACTTTCAGCTAAAAGGTTCTGGTGGATACTTTTGCATTCCAGAAGTGTTAACTTCTAGCAAAGGGAAAAACGGAAGCTTAAAACATATTATTTCCAAAATCACTAAAAGTGAAGTTTTCCAATACCAATCCAATTGACCATCCAGTCTAGCCAGCTCCACCCACAGTAGCACCTATATAACCATCATTGATGGTTCGGTGTACTCCCCCCACTCACTCATGCATACCCAGATACAAACATCTATATATTTAGTTTAGAAAAGTGGAATTATTATAAACAATAAAGTCTGAAACTTGCTTTTTTTTCTTCATATAACTCACCAGGGAGATCTTTCTAAGACAATACCCAAAGCTATTCCTCATGATTTTTAATGGTGGTGTTATAGTATTCCACTTTTAAAACCAGTGCTCTGTTATAGATACTTGGTTGGTTTTCATTCACCACAGAAACTTAGATTTAAAATAATCAATGGTACTTTATGCTTTGATGCAGTTCTGACCTCTCATGACCTATATTATAGGATGCATGGATTTTAATTATGCTTTGTAAATTATTTTTAATGAGGCAATAAGCTTTCATTAATAGGATTCAATTCTCACCCAGCCGGTGTGGCTGTGGTTGAGCATCAACCTATGAACCAGGAGGTCATAATTTGATTCCTGGTCAGGGCACATGCTAAAGGTGCAGGCTTGATCCCCAGTGTGGGGCATGCAGAAGGCAGCCAATGAATGATTCTCCCTCATCACTGATGCTTCTATCTCCCTCTCCCTTCTTCTCTGAAATCAATAAAAAAATAAAAATAAGAAATAAAAATGTAGGATTCAATTCTCAAAGCACCTGGAAGCACAGTGGATAGAGAATGGGAGTTGGGGAAATGTATTTCATATTGTTTTGCTTTGATCTAGGGGTCTGCCATCTGGGTGAAATTGGGATTCATAGTGAGTGTTCTTGCTCGAGAGCCACTACCCTTTCTGAGTCATCCCTGCAGATTCTCAGCAGCTCTAGAGAGCACAAGCATCATGCCAGGAGTCACATGACCAGCGATGACATCGCACCTCACTGAGACACTCACTCTGTGCTCTGCCCCAGCCTAGCCAAGCCCAACTGTCATGGGAGGGACACAGCAACAGCAGAAGCCAGATGATAAACAAAATCATACTCTTCCAGGCTAACCTGTTGCCCTGTGATGTCCAGAACCAACTTTCCAGCCCAAAGAAAATATCACTCTTGGAACAGGGAGACACCTGACCCATGTCCCAGGCTCCCAGAGGAAAACCAAACCATCTAATTCCATTTTACTTACGGAGTTGGGTTTCTGATGTAAACTATCAGAGAAGGAAATGAAATTATTGGCAGCATTCTTCTCAAAGAGAATGTGCTGTGCACTCTGGTTGTTCAATAGTGTTTATGAAACACCTTAATCGGTATTGATGTGATTATTGCTTAACTGTCAAATTCCCCGAGTAAAAGGTAAGTTCCCTGAGGGCAGGGGCCTTATCATTATTCATATGCATGTGTTTTCTCTCACTGATGGAGACAGAGATATTTAAGAAAAAAATTTTTTTTTTATTATAATTGTGGTTTTAATCATAATTGCCCTTAGTTTTCAAAGGAGAATGTGTTTTGTGGGGTCAGAGAGGCCTTCTGCAATCAAGAGAGGACTGAGCTAAAATCTGAAAGGCATGCAGGAGAGGAGGGGGCAAAGGAACTTTCCAGGCAGAGGGAGGAGCAAAGGTCTTGTGATGGCTGAGCATGGAGCACTGGAAAGAGAGAAAGGCCAAGATAAGAGAAATAAGGTTGTCTTGATCCCTCAGCTTTGCCTTGTCCAAGTTCCTATAACACTTCCAGTCTCACTGTTCATTTGAGTAATGATTACATGCAGGATACCCTGGAGGATTTCCATATATTGTCTAGTTCCTTACATTTTATTATTTCTAGTGTGAACTTTCATCCAGTATATACTGATTGTCTTAAAAAGTCTTTCATGTACTTAAGTCAGACTGTTATAAAAAAGCTAATTCAGATAAATTTCAAACTATGGCACAGCATGGGTCTGGCTTTCAACCAACAATTCAGCTTTATCAGTGTCATCATGCCTAGTTATAGAGTGGAATCTCATTATACATACATTTAACTTAAGCACATTCAACTCTAAGTTCTTGGCAGAGAGAGGGAGAGAGACAATGTATATAACGTAGGCCATTATACCTCCCATTCCAATCAAGGAGCACCTGTCCCACGGATAGGATATGAATCTGCTGCCCGCCCACCCCACCCCATCCCGCTGGGTTCAGTCCCTAAGGATTTTCCCAGTGTGACTAATTCTCTGGGAACACTCTGATTTTAGTGTTGAAAGGCACATATTTTAGATAAACCATAACCTCCAATTTTAGTCAACTACTTTTCCTTTTTCTCAGTGAAAGAAACCGACACCTAACCCAGGACTGGAGGAAACCCTGGTCTGCTGGACTACTCAAGAGGCAGTGAGACACTGACCCTGGTAATTCTGATCACATGATTTACACACCACTTTCTTTTGAGAACGAACCCCTAAGACATGGCTACAGTGATGGCTGCACATGTTCGTGTGATCCTCTGACTTTTAAATTGCATTCTTCCTTAACTGTTAAACACCCATGAGCAGGAATCAGAAAATCAAAAGTACTGGTACAACTAACATACCTACATCTCCACAAATGAGGCAAAGATGGAGATCATTAGGCCTTCTGAAGTCAAATGTGAAGAAAAAGAACAAGATTATGCAACCGAATGAAATGCTAGCCTTGGGTCCTGAAAGCAAACAATTATTGGGGATTTTATTATCATCTTTAACTTTCTGGAAAACAGTCTTTACAGTCGCAGATGTATACCTACACTTATGATACTGACACATTTTCAGGAGAAGGTAATGTTCAAACACAGAGCACTACCCTTCTGAACCACCCCTGCAGCCTGTTGGGCAAATGTGTTAATTCTTGCCACTCAGCTCCCTCAGCACTTCGATCATGCCACCTGTACACAAGTTAGAGCTCTCCGGTGACCTTGAGCGCTGGTACCTGTCTCTACCTGGATGGTAAGCTCCTTGCAGGGCCGGTGTAGGCCTTCCTAATCTCTGTGTCCACAGAGCCTCAGAGAATGCCCTCTGCAAAGACTGAGAAGTGAATGGGTAAGTGAATAACCAGATTTACTCTCTAAGATTCATTTCTAATGAATCAGGGAAGAAAGAAAGACATATCCAACAGTCATCAGGCTGTTGTCTCCAGTCCAGAGCTCCGCAGTGCACACCGATCTGTCCTTACCTGTCCAGAGAAATGCAGCACAGGTGAAAAATTGATGCCGTGGTGAGCAGGACGTCTAGAGAAGTCCGGACGAGGCAAAACATCTCCCCGTAAATCCAGATGTCCTGAACCAGCTCAATGGCACCGAAGGGCATCACCAGCACGGAGACCAGCAGATCCGCAAAGGCAAGAGAGACAATGAAATAGTTGGTTTTTATTTTCCTGTGAGTGAAAAAGTATAAGGACGAGGCGGAGGGAGGGGGCCAGAGGAAGGGGGTTAGGGAGAAAGGAGCGAGAGAGAGAAAAGCAGAGGTAAGGAAAGAAAAGAAGGAGGAAAGGAAGGAGGGAGGAAAAAGAAAAAAAGTCAAACGTGTAACGTATCTTGTGAGGTTGTTTCTCTCTGCAATGTGGCTGGGGAAACCCTGTGTGATCGGCCACTTCTGAATTCTCCAGATTCCTCTCGCACCCAGAGCCCTCCCTTTCTCTCCCCTCTGACCACACGGCCTGATTAGAGTCCCTGTGGGGGAGCTCCTCCCAAGGGCCTTTGTACAGGGTGCTCTCTCCCTACTATGGGCTTAGCTACCCCCCAGCAGTCTTGCAGGCCTTGGTTTGATCATTCTCAGGGAACCTCCCAAGGTGCCCCCCTCACAAACGGTGTCGAATTCCACTACTTTCTCCTCTCACACTGACTCGCATGTGCCTCTCATTTGTGAGACCTACCAGAAGTGTGCTTTTATATCTGTTGCATCACTAATGCGTGTCTTGCTTAGAGAGGAAGGCAGTAGGCAAGACAGGACTACATCCTTTATCCCTTTTATGGTTGTCTGGTGGCTTTTCATCCAGGCTGCACGCTAGAATCACCCAGTGGATTTTCATAAATATTGATGCCCAGGTACCACTCCAGATCAATTAGTTCAGGGATTTGGAGTGATTAATACCCCCATCCACACCCAGGGTTGCCAGATAAAACACAGGATACCCAGTTAAATTTGCATTCCAGGTTAACAATGAATAATTGTTTAGTATAAGTATGTCCCACATATTGTCTAGTATAAGTATGTCCCACATATTGTGTGGGATACTTATACCACATTGTAGCAATTTTCAAAAGGTCTTCAGGTGATCTTAATGCAGCCGTGGGCAAACTACGGCCTGCGGGCCGGATCCGGCCTGTTTGAAATGAATAAAACTAAAAAAAAAAAGACCGTACCCTTTATGTAATGATGTTTACTTTGAATTTATATTAGTTCACACAAACACGCCATCCATGCTTTTGTTCCGGCCCTCTGGTCCAGTTTAAGAACCCATTGTGGCCCTCGAGTCAAAAAGTTTGCCCACCCCTGTCTTAATGGCAGCCAGGGTTCAGGCTAATGAACTGGAAAGAGAAGAAGACCTGGATTTAAATCCTAGACGAGTCACTATCAGCCATGCCTTCTCTGAACCAACTGATAAAGTAGGGAGGATAGATTAGATGTGCTCTCAACATATGTACATACAGTGATCACAAACTTCAAAAAAAAAAAAACCCAACAAAATTATACATAGGAAAAAAGGCAGGATGGAAATGCACTTAAGTGTTTACACTGGTCATGTTTGCGTTGGGGGACGATGTATGATCCTTTTCCCTTGTTCTATTTCCAAACATCGTCCCCATGTATTTTTTCCCTTTTGTAAGTACAAATTATAATGGAAATAATAAGTGCAGACCCTGACTCTCTAGGGAGAGCCCAGACCACCACCCAGGCTTCCTGCCTCATGAGGCTTCCTCATGCTACTCACCTGAGCTGCCGGTCCCTGCACACAGCCACCATCACCAGAAGGTTCCCCAAGATGGCCATCAGGATAACCGTGGAGAGAAACGTGAGCAGCACGACCTTCTCCACTGACCGGAAACCCTCCTTGGAACTGGAAGACAGACCGACAGACACACATACACACAAAGATTGAAGGAAACCCTGACACACAGGCAAGAAAATGAATCTTCTCCTCATTCATCTTCAGGAAGGGAACTGCACCATAAGCAGCTGCAACACAGAATAATTATGCACCTATTATATGCCATTGTCTGCACCTGTCACTTTATGTGATATCTTATTAAACCCTACAAAACAGGGAGGAGGAGGCTCAGACTTGAATGAACTACCCTGAGACTGCACAGTTCTTCTCCATCAGAGAGCTCGTGGCTTTCCTTCAGGGCACTTCCTCAGTTTATGCTGAGAAATGTATTTGGGCGATTCCTGTTTTATGCACCTACCCACCTAGTAAGCTCCATGAAGCAGGCGCCTCATATGGTTCATCCATTGATAAATTCAACCCCAATGTGTTATTCACATTTCTTGAGTGAAGGAAAGATGGTGTCGAATGGATGAATGACAGTAACTTGAACCAGGTCTGCATGAATACAGAGGCCACCTGTTGTCAGGACCCCAGCCCGGCCCATGCAGAAGCTGCTGTGCACAGGCAGGCTGTCTCAGGCACAGGTCTTGGCCTGAAGATTGTTCTTATGTAGCTGACCTGAAAAAATTGGTCTCAGATTCTGTGAAGTCCATTGGAAAGACAGCAGCTGATCACTACATGTAAGAACTCATTTCACTGCCCTAAACCACATTTCTTTTGTTGCCCAACACAACAGTTCAAATTTGTGTGTTCTTGTCAATTTTGGCATCTGATATGATTCTATCAACTCTGCTGTCCTAGTACGAATCATTTTGTTTTATTAACTTGGAAGTGAGTATTCCCGTCAATAAAAGCATAATGTTTGCAAATTATTAAGAAGCTTCAGAAAAAAAATTTTATTTCTATTAGAGCAATAAAAATGGTTTTTAATGTATCTTTTTTATTGATTTTTTTTACAGAGAGGAAGGGAGAGGGATAGAGAGTTAGAAACATCGATGAGAGAGAAACATCGATCACCTGCCTCCTGCACACACCCCACTGGAGATGTGCCCGCAACCAAGGCACATGCCCTTGACCGGAATTGAACCTGGGACCCTTGAGTCCGCAGGCTGACACTCCATCCACTGAACCAAACCGGTTAGGGCAATAAAAATGGTTTTGAAATGAAGTTTCCAAGGACCTTAGAATTCTCAGACCCAAACCCCACATATCAATACAGGAAACTGAGGCCCGGAGAGAGGAGCTAAGTTGTCAGAGCATTTCAGTGGCTGGTCTGGAAGGGGCTGCTTGCCCTGTGAGCTGCCCTCTGGAACCACAGAGTCTCCAGAATCAAGAGATATCTGTCTTGACTGAGCTCCTTTGACTGAAAACCAAGATAGCCCAAATGGCAGCAGCCCAAGTCCTGGCTCTGATGTTGTCCAAGACTGGCCTGGCACGAAAGACAAGATGCTGATTAGGAAAAGGCAGCACTGTCACAGCGGCTGAGACCCAGAGCATCCCTCCACTCTACTGACAAGTGTTTTTCTTAACTGATTGGCTGGCTGACTGATGGATGAATTGATGACTGTATGCCTAGGGTTCGGATGAAAAGCAATTCTAGGTATATTCATCTAAATCACTCTTCTACATCTAAATTCCAGCTATCAACAGTACAAATACTGGACAGGGAAGATTTTATTCAATGAGGAAAATGACCTTAACAGGGTGATGTGGCTACCCAAAATTAATCTTACCTTAGGCCAGCGGTTCTCAACCTGTGGGTCGCGACCCCTTTTGGGGGTCGAACGACCCTTTCACAGGGGTCACCTAAGACCATCGGAAAACACATATATAATTACATATTGTTTTTGTGATTAATCACTGTGCTTTATGTTCAATTTGTAACAATGAAATTGGGGGTCACCACAACATGAGGAACTGTATTAAAGGGTTGTGGCATTAGGAAGGTTGAGAACCACTGCCTTAGGCCATGTTAGCTGAGGTCAAGTGTCTAATAAAAGAGGTGACAGTGGGGGTTTTTTCCTTGTCCTTCTCAGAGGCTCCTACTCAGAGCCCCTCTGAGACTTGTTGCCTCTCCAGGCCTCTGTACTAGCTGTGCCTTCCTCCTGGGATGCTTCTTCCCTGTCTTCCAGGTCTCAGATTAAAGTTAACCCCCACTTAATGCGACACAGCCAATATTTTCCCTTTTCTTTATAGCAGTTACTGTTACCTGAAATGACTTCTGCTACTGATGCTTGTCTGTGCCCCACCCCCACAGATTCACCTCACTTCTCTGTTCCAGCACAATTTCCAGTGCCAGGCACAGTCTACTCTACAGAGTGTAGGGTATAGGTGTGTGTAGTACATAGGAAGTGCTCCATTATTTGCTTATTGAGTGAGAGAAAGGCATATTGTATTCGTAATGATGAGGTTTATCCTTCAATGTCTTTGATAACGGATGGAAGGTACAGAGAAGATTTTCCCTAGAGAAGCCCCAGTAGGAGACACAAAAGCTATTTTTAACACCTGAAGGGCTGTCATTTGAAATAAGAGATTTGTACATGCACTCATTCAACAATTCTTTCTCAGCACCTTCTCTGCACTAGGCATTGTTGTGTGCCCTAGGGAAGCAGAAATGAGCAAAACAGAGAGCAGGCAATGGCAGGTAAAAAGAATGTATGTAGAATGTCAGCTGGCAATACACACTATAGCAAAACATGTAGAAGGGACAGCAGGGCAGGCCTGCCAGAGAGCGCAGTGCTTTTAATAGGGGCCGTCAGAGAAGGCTCCGTGATAGGTCTGCTGCACTTTATGCCCTGCAGGCTGTGTAAGGAAATGAGATGAGTGAGCAGCAGGCTTTGAATTGAGTAGGTTCTCAGCTTTGGCTACATATTGAAATGATCCGAGGAGCCTCAGGAACATGAATGTTAGGGCTGACTTAATCAGTCTGGGTTGCTGCCTAAGTATTGGACTTTTTTCAAGTTCCTAAGGGATTCTGTTGTGCAACCAAGGTTGACAATCCCTGCTGGAGGAACGGCGAGATTTAGAAATGGCTAAGGAGAACTTTCTAACAACTAAGGGTGATCTGCAATAGCTTCCTGCTGCTGTGTTGAGCTCCAGCTTAGGAAGTGCTTCAGAATGACTAGATGTCCATGTGCTACCACTTCACACCCATTAGGGTGGCTATTATAAAAACAAAACAAGAGTGAAAAATTACAAGTGTTGTGAGAATGTGGAGAGACTGGAACCTTTGTGGATTGCTGGTAGTGATGTAAAATGGTGCAGCTGCTGTGGAAAACAGTTCGGTGGTTTCTCAAGAGGCTAAATATAGAATGACCGTATGACCCAGCACTTCCAGTCCTAAGTATATACTCCAAAGAACTGAAAGCAGGGACAGGAATAGATACATATACACCAATGTTCATGGAAGCATTATTCACAATAGCCAAAAGGTGGAAACGACTCAAGTGTCCATCAAGAGATAAACAGATCAACAGAATGTGGTATATATACACTATGGAATTTTACTCAGTCACAAATTTCTGATACATGCTATAACATGGATTAAACCTTAAAAATACTGTGCTAAGTGAAATAAACCCAACACAAAAAGACAAATATTGTATGATTCCACATATATGAAGAGCCTACAATAGGTAAATTCATAGAATAAGTAGACTCATGGTTACCGGGGCTGGCGGAAGGGAGGAGGAAATGGGGAATTACTTAATGAGTTCAGAGTTTCTGTTTGGGGCAATGAAAAAAATTCTGGAAATGAATAGTGGTGGTGGTTGCACACCATTGTGAATGTACTTACTGTCACTGAAGTACATTTATATGGGCTACTTTATGTATTAATGATACATTTTATGTTATGTATAATTTATCACAATAAAAAAAGAATACCTGGATGGCCATATATCAGGATATTGTATAGGGCTCCTATATTGGAGGCAAGTGAGATTGACTGATTGTAGTTCTCTCTCTTGCCTATGGACAATGGTCTGAACATGTCCATCCACAAGAGCCTCAGTATTAGAACCATCTCCCCTGCACTGCCTCTCCTCTTGTAGGAGAGAAAAAGCAGATCCGGGGTTTATGGTGAACATTTCTGGCTCCAGAGAAGGTATATTTCAAGCCAAATGAGAATGGCAGGGTCAGAGAACCCCAAGTTCAATGTTATGGTTCATTTGTGGCATGCCAATTAGGAGCTAGAAATAGCTAGACTTTAAACTGTGAGTGACAAGCACAATTTAACCACAGAAGGAGCATTTTTAATTAGACAGAACTGTCCATTGAACCAAATGTTAAGTTCAGTAATGATGATTAAAATAAATTAGGAACCACTTTTGCTAAATCTATGTTAGGCCCTTGGGTTACCTTTGACATCCTCCAAGAATACTGTCAACCACTACTAGACAGCTCCCATCTGACCAAAGAGCCATGTCTGCTCCACTAACTAGGATCTTTGACAGTTAGTCTGATGGGAAATTTTACTTTTTCTTCTTCTTTTTTTTCTTTTTCAGTGATCTCTTGATCCATTAAATAAAGCAACTCCAAAAATTTGCTGGCTCTGTTTTCCATTTTCTCTGTTCTTAATAAAAGAAAATCTACAACAATAATTCTGGGTAAATTTCCACATAGGTTAGTACATGTGAAAGTGAACTATAAATGACAAAGTACATTATAAATAAATAATCACTGTTATTAATATTAAAAGCCCATACAGGGACAATAGCTAAGGAGGTTTTAGATTATGTTTTGTTATATCACTCAGAACCAATACATTTCCTTAGGAGTCAAGAATAATTTTCTTTCCTTCCCCTCCCCCTCCCCCTCCCCCCCCACTCCCCCTCCTCACATTGGTTTTGTTCATAAGTTATGTAAACTTTAAAATGTCACTTGCTTTTTCTGAGCTTCCTGAGTTTCTTCATGGGTCAATTGAGGAAATCAGATTAAATGTTTCATTTATCAAATATGTACTGATTGCCAACTATATGTCATGATGTGTGCTAAGCCCTAGCCGGTTT